TATGGGAAGAGGGCTATGCCTGAGACAGAACCTTCCTGACCCCTCCTGCCTGGGAAAGGCATAGCCAAAGCCCAGCCACATTGACTCTACATCCCAGACACATTTATTAGGAGGGTGCCGCTTGGACACAGGTGGATCCTGTTTGCGCTAATTCTCCTCTTCCTTCTGCCCCTGCTGTCGCCATGAAAGAACTCAGTACCCGCTCCTCATAAATCTCTCTCACACACCACATCCCGCCTCCCCAAACTTGGGATTTCCCACCCCAGGCAGCGCTGGTTTTATAATATTCTCCTTCCTGGTGCCTCTGATGTGGCAGTAAAATATGAGACCACCCACAGAGAAGGAAGCTTCCTGGAATCAAGAGTTTCCCCCACCCCCTTCCCAAGGCCAAGGCCTTGAGTGATTGGCTGGGATATTCAGGGAGCTCATTATAGGAATAAACATATTAGGGCATTGGGAAGAGGTCTGCATAGGGAGACAGCCTTCAGGCACAGTGAGGCCCTCCATTTTGCCTGAGGTCAAACAGCCAGGCAATTACAAAGGCGGCAACCCCAGCCCCCAAGGCATCTAAAATTCCAGACCATCCCTACCCTTCCCTCTGCCAGACAGGACTGTTCAGAGGCTGCTCAAGCCTGAATGAGCCCCCGGCAAGGAGGCAGCAGTCTGTGTGGCCTGTCAGGAGACAGACTTCTGACTCCCAGCCAGGCAGGGGGATGGACTGCCTGACCCTCAGCTTCAGCTGGAGTCCGTCTGCCAGGCTTTGCAGTAAACATTCCAGAGATGGGCAAAACAAGTGTTTCTCCTGGGAAGGTGAGGCCTTGTGAAGGCCAGAGCTGCTTGGGTGGTATCGGTGTAGTGTAAAGTGTTCTGCGTTCTGGTTAGAATCGAGTTGAGGGCTACCCGTCATTCAGGTTGGACACTGTACAAGGACCCCACATTGTAATCAGTGGAGATTTGTAAGTGTACTACAACGGTGTACCAGTAGATGACAGTAAAGTGTCTTGAGGACAGGATATGCAGGGCTTATCCCTAGAAGTTACTCATTTACCCAGTGACCAAACACTTGTTAAACGTGCCTTGTGCCCTGGCACTTGGTGCCAGATACTGGATTCAGTGAGCACTGAGACACGGTTTCAGGTTTCCAGGAGCTCTCAGACTAGGTGTGTGGGGTCAAGGTAGAGACAAATACCGTGTGGTTACAACAGGGAGTGATAGGTATTTTAATAGTTGTTAGTATAGGATGCTATGAGAACCTCAAGGAGGAACACCTAACCTGGCCTCAACTGGCGCGGGGGGTGGGGGGTTGGGGAAGGACGGGAGCACTTTCAAGGAAAACTCGATAGAGGACGTGAATGAAGATCTTGGAGGCACCAGCCAGGCAGAGAAGAGCAAGAAGCCATCCTAAGCAGAGAGAACAGCCTGTGCAAAGGCTCAGAGGCGTGAAGTGTAGGACGAGGCTAGAGAATCCCAGGAAGTTGCCTGTTTCTGTGACGTGGGCAGAAAACCAGAGGAGAATTGGGTCAAGGTTAGCTGGATCCAAATCATGAAGGACAAGGAGGGTCTGAACTGAATCCCCAGAATCTTTAAGTTCAAGATCTAAGTCACTGGTGCCCCTTAGAGATTTAATGTGTCTTTGAACAAGGACTTCTCCATCTGGAATACGTAGGGACTGATCCCCACCCTACCTACTCTCAGGGTTCACATTAGGGTCAAATAGGAGGAGGGATGTGGAGGTAAATGCAGGCCTTATATACCGACGGCATCTGTTTATTATTATTATCAACACCCATCTCTCATGGCACTGGTGGAATAGATCAAAGTGAAGTAAATCACATTTCTGTTTTGTAACCTCCATGAGGGCAAGATTGTGTTTTATTTGTGGATCCCAACCACATGATACCCACAGGCACAGAGAAAACAGTCAGTAGTTCTTTGTTGTTGATTCTGTTTTAGGCCCTGGGTTATGTGCTTTGGAGCTGACTATGTGCAGGAACTTTTCTGAATACTTTATACATCTTCTCTTGGTTAATCTTTACAACAACCTGTGAGTTAGTTACTAGTATCAAACCAACTTCCCAAATATGGAAACTGAAACACATGGAGGTTGAGTAAGTTACCCAAGGTTACACAGTGAGCGGTAGCGCTGGGATTGCATCTCTGTGGTTGCCCTGAGTCTACTACACTCTGCTGTCTTGTTGCATAGACGATCAGGTGAATTTATCCCTACAGCCTTGGCTGTAGATGTTATCACCCTTGACAAATGAGAAAACCATGACCTAGAAGGGTTAAGTATCTTCGCTTAGAACATGTGGTGAGTGAGTTGTAAAGCTCCAATTTTGCCCAAGCCACACTTTTTCCAGTGTACCAGTGATTGTTCTCATTAGTTACCCTTCTGAAGTCCCAGGCCCATCTAGTACTTCTTTTAAACCTAAACTAGAGGGAACCTTGCCCTAAATCTGACTCCAGTCCTTAATAGCTGTACCCCTTCTGATAGCAAAGGAGGGCCCTGCACCACGACCTTGCAAACTGTACCCTTAGACCGTGCACTGGATACACAAAACCCTAGAATTCCCTGCCCAAAGGGACCCTGGCCCAACTCATGCCCTGTGTATGCCAGTTCCCCGTCCATCCTCCCAAGTCATTGCCAAGGGAGAACTATTGGTGGGGGCATGAGTGAAGAAATGAAGCATGGCACATGGGCTAGGCAATCCATGAGCCTGCACAAGAATCCTGGGTAGTGCAGGACAGAGAGAAGGGTAGAAAGAGAATTAGGGAAGAATTAGGGAAGACTGTAGGGACCAAGACATGGCAATCCCCATGTTGCCTTATTCTGGGTAGAACTCTAAAAATTCCAAGAAGTCTAAATTCTGATCCTTCCAGGCCATTATGAAGTTGTACTTGTTGAGGAAGGAAGACAAACGTGTTTTATTTTAATGTTTGCTGGATTTATTTATCAATTATAAATACTAGATATGTGATATAAATATTATAAATATTAGATATGTAAATAGGCCTCCATTTGCTCTTTTTCCCCAGCCCCCACAAATATTAGAAGTGGACTTATCCCAGTATCTGTAGTTTGCTGACACTACATTTAAAGGTTTGTGGTAAAATTCACACTGTGGAAAGGCCCCCTTTGCATGAGCCTCACTGCACACACATTTTGTCAAACGCCGTGCCTGGAAGAAAAAGCAGAACTTTCAAGTCACACAATAACAGCTCCTATCCCACTAAAGTTTTGTTCAGTTGACAGCTAAGCCTGTCGACGTTGTAAGAAAACGTAGTGTTAATGTTAGAGCTACCAGTCAGTGATTTGGACCTTCTTGGAAAGAGACGAACTCCACTGGCATCAGAGAAGTGTACATAGAGACTCTTTGGAAGCAGACAGACTGAAGCTTGGTCAGAGAATTTGTAGAAAATATTCCTTCTTTCATAAATGGCAGGTTGAAAAAACAGGTAACAACATGGATATTCCAGGAAGAAGAATGGAAGAAGAAACTAAGAGTATTCTTGGATGTACTACTTACAAATTATTTATTAGAACTCAATCAAGTAGCCACACCTAACTGAATGGAGAGTTGGGATCTTCCTTTGTGTGTGTGTGTGTGTGTGTGTGCGCACGCGCACCAGTCTGCAAGCTCTCTTAACCGTGGCAAAGAGGAGAATGGGTATTGGAACAAAGAGCCGTCTATACCCCAGAAAGGTTTATGTAAATGCTTAACACAGTGCTCAGTTTATAGCAAGTGACTGAGAACTATTTCTTCATACCCAAATCCAAAAGGACAAATGGAAACTTTTTGTTACTTTTGCCTTGTGTGTGGGAGGACATCTAAACCTAGAGCACCCCAACATTTTTCAGGGTTGAGCAAAAACATAGAAGTGGAATTAGAAGACCAGGATTTAAGTCCCTTAGGCAAAATATTTCGTCTCTCTGGGTTTTAGTTTTGTCTTTTTTTTTTTTATAGGATGGAAATAATAATGCCTTCTTCATGGTGGTGGTTGGAAGCATTAAATGAGAAAGGCTGTATGGGTTAAAGCCTACAGCACAGTTTCTGGCACAGAGTAAATACTCAACAAGTGGGTTTTTTCCCATATATATCTTCACTCATGTATTCATTCAACAAATATTAATTGAGCTCCTACTGTGTGTTAAGCACTCTGGTAGGTGTTAGGAGTATTTGTTCCTTACTTCAAGGAGCTGTGTTATAGTTTAGTGAGACACAGGCATTAAATGCAGTTACTGATTATAACTAATTATATGTAATAAATACTATGGAAGAAGAGTAAAAAAAGAATATGTGAAGAGATGAGGGGGTCAAGATTAGAGTGCTTATACAGATGAACTGGCAAGTGGATGGATTTGGGAAATAATTAGAATGTAGAATCAGTGGGGATAGGAAGAGAGAAAGAGATGACAAGAATGATGTCTATGTTTCTGCCTTGAGCAATGGGTAGATGAGATGCCATTACTGAGAAGACAGAAATAAGGGTATAGAGGAAAGATGATGGAAGGATGGATGGATGGATAAAGGGATAGATGAGGGCTGCTTCCTTGGACAGATGGACAAATGGAGGAATGAGTGGATGGATAGATAATTTATTGAATATATAGAGTGTAACTATAAATACTAAAAATAAGCAATTCTGCATTAGTTATATACATAAGATTCTTTATCTCATTTGGTCCTTAAAATAACCCTTAGAAATATGTCATGAGGTATTAATATCTTCCTTACAGATTATAAAATTGAGACATAGGGAGGTCGAGCCGCTTGGCAGAACCAGAACCTGAGTCTCCAATCTTTCCATCCAGTATTCTTTCACCTCTTGCCCACAATGCATAAAATAATGAGAGAATCAGAAGTCAAGGTGGGAGGAGAGAGCATGAAGTTACAAATGTGTCTGACATGCACCTCTGGAGGTAAGATCTTTGGGAGAAGAAAGAAAACAATAAAGCAGTCTGCACCCTTACTCAGTAGCTCTCTTCCTTTCTTTCACAGGACCAAGTATTTTCATGGAAAGAAGGTGAATGGAGAGATTGAGATCCGAGTAGAGCAGGTAGGTTGGAGCTGGGTCTTTCATGCTATCACCCTGATATTTTCCACAGCTGGAGCAACCTTGGTCCTCATCTGATGTGGCTACTGTGAGCCGAGATTACCAGAAAATCCTGGTTTATGCCTGGGAGTTTTACTAAATTCCAGAATTATTTAGCATAATGTTTTTGTTTTAGCAGCAGAACCTTTCTTCAAAGGAAATCTCAAGTAGGAACCCATTTTACAAAAAAGAGACAAGTAGAGAAAAGAGAACTGATGAAATGGGCATGGGGAGCCCAAAAATCTGTCTGTTCCATCCTGTTCTACCTTCTCCCCATTCCTCTTATGGCCCCCAAGGCATCTCCTTGAAACTGCTTGGGCTAGTCACCAGAGTGGGTTTGAATCCTGGCTCTCTCATTTAATAGGTATGGGGCAGGTGAGTCAATTACTCTGTGCTTCAATTTCTGTGTATCGTTGTTGGGATTAAATTATTTAAAACACCAAATGAGACTAGAATTACAAATACTGGCTCTCGTTGTTACTGCTAATATCAACAGCTAGGCACCTCAATTTATGGGGAAAGAAACATGAACTTGCTCAATGCTACATAGGAAGTCAGTGGCAGAATGAGGACTAGAACTTGTGATCTCCAGATCTAGGGCTCCTCCCATTCATTCAGTGAATACTTGTTGGGGCCTACTAAATGCCAAGCATGGTGTCAGCCTTAGGAGAGCACATCAAATCTTGGGCTCTGGAGCCAGACTTTAGGTCGGAATCCCAGTGCCACTCCTTACTAACTGTGTGACTTTGAGCAGTACTAAGCCCTTTGCAGCTCGGTTTCTTCATCTGTACAGTTGGGTATTAATAGCGTCAATTTCATGGGGTGACTATGAGGATCAAATGAGTTAGTCTCCAAGTATTTGAAACAGCACCTGGTACATACCAGGCACTTAGGAAATGGTACTCATTTATCATCATCATCATCATCATCAAAGACAAAGAGTTAATAAGATAGACGAGGTCCCTACTATAAGATGAACTCAAAAAAGTGCAGTAAGAAAATAGAGGGTGTGACTTTCTCAGCATTCTTTGAATTTGGTGTGTTGGGGGAACAGAAAGCCTTTCTGAGCATCCAATTTGAGTTGGCTTAGTATTAAAACACCTTAAGCTTGAATTTCAGTTTGATCCTGTGGCTTTCAAGTCAGTCCAATGTCTACTGGTTTTCCTTCCATGGCAAAGAGTAGGTTATTTTTGTTCACTTAACAAATATTTGTCAAATGTCTACTATGCTAGATCACTAACATGTGGGGAAGGAGGATATAGAAGTAGAGGCTCTGTCCCAAAAAGTTTGTGGTCTAGGAAGGGAGGCAAGATAAGTCTTCATAGAACCTCAGTACAGGTAGAGTCCAGGAAAGAGAGCTCTAGACTTAGTGCTAAGGGCAACAGAGGCCACCACTAACTGAGAGTGTGAGAATGGCTCCAAGGAGGGGGTAGTATTTGAAGGGCATCTTGACAGATGGATAGGATTTCAACAAGTGAATATGGCAACGTGAAGAGTAATGAGGTGGAAGCATTGTAAGCAAAGTTAAGGGGGCTGGAATTATAGGGTATGGAATGGTGGGAATCCAATTTGGTTGAGTCCAAAATAGAACACATCATCTTCCCCTAGCCCCAATCTGCTTGTCCTCCCATGTTCTCTCTCTCAATAAAGAGTACCACCCCCTTAATCTTCCATGTTAGCTAGAAACCTGCACAGGCTCCCCAATGACTCTCCTCCCTCCACCACTATACCCATTCAACTACCAGAACCTGTTGACTCCACATCCCATGTCTCCAGTCCATCCACTTCTCTCCATCCTTATTGCCTAGATCCTTGGCTGAACCAGCATTAGCTCTCACCCAGTCTTCCTTATCAATAGCCCTCTAACTCTATCCTTTTTACCCACTTCCAATTTATTTTTACTACTAGAGCTGGAATGATCTTTCTTTTTCTTTTCTTTTTTTTTTTTTTTTGGTAAAAATTTTATTTGTTTATTTGGCAGACAGAGATCACAAATAGGCAGAGAGGGAGTGGGAGAAAGCAGGCTCCCCGCGGAGCAGAGAGCCCGATGCGGGGCTCGATCCCAGGACTCTGGGATCATGACCTGAGCCGAAGGCAGAGGCTTAACCCACTGAGCCACCCAGGCGCCCCTGGAACAATCTTTCTAAAAAAGCATATAGGTTCTTGAAAATGTTAGGGTTTTTTTTTTTTTTTTTTTAGAGATTTTATTTATTTCAGAGAGAAAGAGTATGAGCAGGGGGAGGGGCAGAGGGAGAGGGAGAAGCAGATTCCTTGCTAACCTGGGGGCTTGATGCTGACCCAGGACCCTGAGATCATGACCCCAACCAAAGGCAGACAACCAGCTGAGCCACCCAGGTGCCCTAAAGTATTAGCTTTTATTTATTTATTTATTTATTTATTTATTTATTTATTTATTATTTCATTTATTTTTTTGTAAGAAGAGAGAGCGAGCCACACAAGCAGGGAGAGAAGCAGGCTCCCTGCTGAGCAAGGGGCCTCGTGTGGGACTTGATCCCAGGAACCTGGAATCATGACCTGAGCTGTAGTCAGATGCTTAACTGACTGAGTCCTCCAAGTGTCCCAAAATGTTAGCTTTTAAATCCCTTCCTCAAAGACTCCTCCTCTCACACCTTGATCTAAATCAGCTAACCTGGTTGTTCCCTATCATAACACTGAACTTTTCCTTCCTAGCCCTCACCCATATATATAGGTGTGGGATTATTTGCATGAGCATAGGGGCCATGGCTATTTGGATCTCACTCTGTTAAGTAGCGCAGGGCCTGGCATATCCTAGAACTAAAGAAATACTTGCAGAATGAATAACTGATAGTTTCCACAGATTCCAGACTGCTTGTCAGTTTCCAAGGGAGATAAATCACTGCTTCTTAATCCCCCTCAAAAATCTGGTTTTTCCATAAGCCATCTGGTAAATGCTCAGTTGCCAATTTAGCTAGCCCTATCTCATCCCATTTGTGAAAACTCCAGAGCCATTTTTTAATTTTACCCGTTTATCTCAGTGATGCCCCTGGCCCAACTTATGGGTATAAAATCCATGAGTAGGAGCATCATTGGTAATTGCCCTATGAGTAACTCATGCAGAGGCTCTGGGGACACTCAGCCAATCTATGAAGCCTACAATCATGCTGGAAAACATTGGCTAATTTAGAGTCATCCTGATTTCCAGCCATCCCCCTCCATAGAATCCAGAAGGCAAATTAGCCAGGAGACCAAATAGCAGGTTATTTGGGCATTTTTCCCTGAAAGACTTGCCTTCCTAAGCCTGTCTTAGAGCCTGAGTTGTTTGCCTTTTCCCATCTGGATGAATGGGCGGGTCACATAAGCAGCCCCCCAGGAATCTCATATGTATTCTCTCACACTTAGGAAAAGTCTTAGGATGGAAGCCACTGTTTAGTCTGAGCTGGTCTCACATTTTGGAAGTTTGTCTCCCAACTAAGGGCCAAATTAACCAGATAATTGCACTGTCTGGGTTTTGCTGGACAGAGCAAATGAATTAGTTGTGGTTGGCCTAGAGGAAGCCTCGCCCTTCTCTCCACCCTCTTCCCCCCAAGTTCAAAAACTGCTTGCCTCAGCTGTTGCAGAGCCAGGAATCCAGAAACCCTGGGGGGAGACTGGGGAGGTGAGGGGGGTAGGGACTGCATCATGTTGCATTCCATTACCCAGAATGCCCTGTTGGCTCTGTGGGGCTGCACAGCAGTGTCCTTGAAGGGTCTGAGACGTTCTGGCCAGGGTGGTTGGCGTGACAAGCTCTCCTCTATTTATATTTAGGGCAAAAGTTCTTTTTCTCCGCAGGTACAAGTCACCCCTCTGTGGGACTAAGCAATGAGTTTGATGAATGGATTAATCTCAAATAGACTCAGTTCTGAAGGACGAGCAGATTAGGACTTGGTGGGACAGAGCCTTGGGGTTCTTTCCTCTCTCATAAAAAAGGCTGCAATTACAATGGTCAATCTTTCCTCAGTGATAATAGAGGTACCAAGGCATAAGCAATGACAGTGTCTTGCTCTAACAGATGGAGAGAAAGGCAAGAGAAGGTAAAGAATCTGCTCTTGACACCAATGAAGGAAGCTGGACAAGCCACAGGTTCACATATGAATGCCAGTGGCTCCCTTTGAGTCCTGCCCTCCTGTGACACTGGAATTGGGATGGGGTTAGGTAGATTTGTGGATCCCAGGAAAGGCTCTCGTGATTCAAATGCTATTCATCTTCTGCTCTTTATATGTTTCTTCAACTCACATGTTTTAGGGGAGCAAAGGTGGGATTTTTCTCTTCCATGGTTTGGCTGTTATGGACACTGCTGCTATAAACATCGGGGTACATCGGGGTAAATACCTAATAGTACAATTGAATGGGAAGAAATCAGAGAGGGAGACAAACCATGAGAGACTCTTCACCGTAGGAAACAAACCGAGGGTTGCTGGAAGGGAGGTGGGGGTGGTGGAGTAACTGGGTGACAAACATTAAGGAGGGAACATTATGTGATAAGCACTGGGTGTTAGGTGTAACTGATGAACTGATGAATTACTGAACTCTACATCTGAAACCAATGATGTCATATATGTTCACTAATTCAATTTAAATAAAAAATAGTTTAAACACTCAAGACCATGATGTATACATTTTACATACCCACTTCAGCCTTCCATTCACAGTTCTTTATATGTCAGCATTTCTTAGAATGGATCTTTGCTGTAGATATTCTATTGACCATAAAGACCATGTGATATTTCAAGTAATAGTTGCTAAGAAGATAGAGAAATGGAAGTTGGATGTTAATTCAGATCGATCGATCGGTAACAGGTTGAACATTACCCCCTAGGAAATGATTATTTGATAGAAATATACCTTGAGAGAAATACATGTAATGACAGAGCCCTTGACTATATTCTTTTCCTTAATAGAGACTTGTCAAATTATGTTTGCTGATGACTTGAAGCTGAATGAGA